AAGACAAATTCCTTGTATATATTTTATACTTGGTCATTAAAGTATTTTGTATCTTGTATCTTGTATCTTCAAGCCTGCTACCAGAAATTGAATTCAACTGAACCCTACAGAAAGCTCTGTGGCTACATATGCCTGATGAGTCCCAAACAAGACAATGCTTGTCACGCACTTCTAATTTCGTCAGTGTTAGTGGTAGAGCACACGCTATGGAAGCAGAAGTTTCTACATGGTGCTAGATAAACTGCTGCCTGAAAGCCTGGAGAACTACTGTGAATTTATGCCAACAATTCTGGGTTTTATAAAAACTAACTGTCTGACCCTATAGTTTCATTAACTGAAGATTTTTGCACTTCTGTTTTAGAAACATGTTGCCAACTAGGAAGTTGTCTAAAATATGTTTTATTTACTCATCTAAAAAAAAATCTACAGAGCATTAAGATCAAAACAACACTTTTAGAAAGAAAGCCTATAGTAGCTTTTCCTCAGCTGGCCACCCTATAGATGCATGGACAATGATTCCCAGAATTCTCAGCAATATTTGTTGGCTGGGAATTCTGAAACTAAAGTACACATCTGGAGGATACCTGCTTAGGAAGGCTAATCTATAGAATCAAAAAAGCCCACTGCCATTCTCCCATCTCTTACCTGGCCTTTCTTTAGTACTGATAGGATCAATCTATTGAAATCAAGGACACTCCAACGGAGGACATACAGCCCGTCTTCCTGCTCTTCCCGCTTCAGCTTAGCCAAAATGAACTCTTCCCTAGGAAGAGAAAACTTTTAGACATGATGTGGAAGCTCCCTCATCCCAAACCAGTTTTTGGGGGCGGGAGGGAACAGTGACAGGAGGCTTTGGTGCTTACTGCATGGGTCCATGAATACCATTCTGGATACTCATAACCAGTCGTGGTGGGGCAACTTCATGACACAGATAATGGCTAGAATCAGCTGTTAATCTGAAGTAACCATCTACTAGCGAAATCAAGGAGAGAGCACACTCATGGGATGAAAGAGTCAAATCCTGTATTAAAAAAAAGCGGGGGGAAACCCCGTTGTTAGTCCTGAGCTACAGGGCCAAAATAAATGCCTATGAGAAGCTGTATAACATTTTACTCAGGGGGCCTATACAAATGTGTTGCTATTTGTTACCAATGTTTTTGCTTAGACATCCCCCCACCTCTAATCCAGTTAATATCACATTCACTGCCTTATACAGAGCCATCAAATTTAACATAGGTAAAAAGAGTGACAAGCTCCAGTATCTGGTAGCTGAGGGTATCACTGATTTTTCTGTTTTATTTTTCTATTTTAACAGATGGTGCCAAGCAATACAATCACAGTAAAAATAATCTGAACCACATTTAACTCTCAATAGTGATGTTTTGTTCTTTAATTACCTCCAACATTCACCAGAAACGCATGTCATGACTCCAGACGAAAACTGTAAGAAGATAGTAGTATGACACACTCACACCTACCAGACACTTATTGTCTTGCCGATGGATACTGACGTTGCAGTCTTTGATAACAATATGTGTGATCTCCTGGAAGTCACAAAAGTGTGCCCATTTGGCTTCATCTTGCTCCACTGGTTGGTAGGACTGCTTGGACTTGTGGTTTTTAGTCTTGACTTTCCTCCCCAAATAAACTTTATGGGGCTGACTTTGTGATTTCTGCAAGACAGAATGTTAAGGTGAGTTATGGAATCTTTGGCATGGATTCCAAAATAATTGTGTGATACTATATAGTAACATGCTTCCTATAAATTAACACATAATATGCCATCTTCCAAAGACAATTAGTCGCAGGATCAAGATACCCACTCCCTTGCATATACACTCCACTAGTATATTACAGAATTTGAGTAATTTCACTTTATTCTTCACTTGCAGAAACTTAAGACACACTACAAATTGGGCCCTCAAGGTGAGCTGGATCTGCATTTTCTAGAAGTTGGAAACTAAGCTGTCCATTGGGCTATTGCTGAACTTTTACTATTAAGAAACAAAAATGCAGGTGATAATGTTAACCTATTATGGGGGAGAATAATTCAAAACAGCAATAGTAGCATAAAACCTTTATAAAAGCAAATTAGAAAACACTAATAAGCATGTTTTTGAGTTCACCAAGTCTTTAGCCTGAATATTTGTCAGAAGACAAGCAAAAGGAAGGAGAGAAAAGGATGCTTACGAGTCCCATGAAAAATTCCAGTCTTCAATAGCCTATCAGCAATATCAAATATGCAATCTATGTTATGCATAGTCTGTTCTGTTTCTCATATTCTCTATCTTTAAAAAAAAAATCCAGGTTAAACATTAAACAAATGCTAGGGAATTCCTGGAAGATTGACACTCAGACACATCAGCCATCAATAGACACACAGAGATAAACCACATTTACACACCATTCAAGAGACAATAAGAAAGCTAAGAAGGAAACAAAAAGCCCAGAACACATCCTCTCCAGGAGCCTACACCCAGATAAGCAGGGATTAACACCAGACAAATAATCAAGCAGAAAACAATACTCTAATCAAGCAGAAAACAATCAAGCAGAAACCAATATCCTAATCAAGGAACTACCAAGAAGAAAACCACACCCCCACCAACACTGGCAGGGCAAGCTACTGTATATAGACAGGGAGCAAACCCCACACCCACTAGCACTGATGATGTTACCTCGTTGGGTAATGAAATGTCTGCAATTAAACAATCAAGCTCAGAGACTCCACAGTTAAATCCTGAGCTACATATATTCTCTTCTAGAGTTATACTACCTAGCTATGTTTTTGAAAGTCAACTACAGTAAGTCCTTTTGTTCCTGGCAAGTAAATCTTTTAATGCAGTTATAACTCTGAGCTGTAGTCCAACACATCTAAAGGACATTAGGTTCAGGAAGGCTGTTCAGCATATGTTTTTCAGATTGTTTTCCAAATACCTCTGAAGCTCGGCACAATGTCAAGGGACCATCCTCAGTCAAAATCAAAAAACGCACAGGGTGGGCAGCAAACCCTCATTTCGGTGGATGAACACATTGCTTTCAAAGAAAAGATTTCTCAAGAAATACCTTTTATACTTTAGTCCCCATGATTAATAGTGAATGTTAAATTGCATTTGCTTAAAGCTTTATTTTGAACTGGTAACCAGGACTTTGGCTGTTATTAAGAATTCTACACTAATTAAGATTCAAGTTGTATGTGACCCAGCTTCCTGACAAAATCTTTGGAAATTTGGACTTTTAATTGGAATGAATAAAATTAAGCATCTTTGTGGGCCTTCCCAGGGTATCCGTATGTTTGTATGTCAATGATGGCAAAGTGGACAGTATGACCAAAACTTCTCCCCTTTAAAGTGTGTGTGGGGGAAGGCTTTAATCACCTGGTCACATCTACCATTTTGATATTGTTAACCCCCGCTCCTGTGTATGCCTCTGGGTACCCCACAGTGTCCAGGAATAGTACACTGAGATCTCCAGAAATACATGAAGATGAACCCACAGATGATCCTACCTCAGCAGGGATGGGTCGCCACTGAATCCCATTAATGCCTGTGACCAAGACTTCATGGGTGACAGGCCTGCTACCAGGAGGAGAGGCATAGGAGTTCTCCAGATGTGTATGACCACCATTGATGTAAAGTGGCATCTTCTCACCCTCCAAAACTGTTTCCAGTGAAACAGCTGCAAAGAGCTCAGTCCCAAAACGTGGAGCCAAGTTTTCCAAGGTAGCTAGGTACTTGTGCATGAGATCCTGTTCTGTAAGCTTGCCAGTGCTCACTGTGTGTTGCTGGAAACGCTGCAAGAATTTCTTGAAAACATTCTTCATGCGAAACTTGGTCAAATAATTGTTCTGCTGGATCTGTCGGCAAAAGGACCGTGGGATGCACTCTTTGAAACTGCAAGGGACACAGACAAACTGTTACCAAGAGCAGCTCTCATATGCATTAATATCTTTCTTCAGTAAAACAAATGGCAAAATTAGATAGATAGACAGACAGCCAGACAGCCAGATTCCATCCCCAAGTCCCCCAACATCAACTAATTACTACAAACTGTAGAAACTGAGGTAGTTGTTGCCCTCCATTAATTTTTAAATTATTCTACACATTTAAATAAATGAACCTGTGTTTTCATCCTTCTCTGAATAAAGTAAACAAGTTTGCTCTTCCTTTCTTTTCTTCTCTTTCTCCTGATCTGTCTCCAAATCCTATTTTTATTAAGAGAAATGAGCATCCTTTATCCTAAGATTTTGCCTGTAATCATAAATAAATCACCAACTGATACATGCAATTGCTATTTTTCTGTCCAGGATATTCTCTATTGTTAGAAAACATGTGATAGATAAGGTTCTAATGGAATCATAGTTTGGAGTTGCATGATAAGGCTCCTTGTTGAATTGACCAACACACATGAAACACTTATCAGTAGCAGTCCAAAAGTGAAAAAATTCCAACAGATGTAGGATTTATGATAATGTTTTTAATTCAATAAATAATATACACAATTCCCTAAAAAGAAATTTTGTGCTACATGGCTGAAAAGCACATCATACAGAGCTGCAGTTCCATAAACAATTATAATACCTTGTTCTCTCTGCCACTTCCTCAAGGGAGATGCCTTTCTTAAGTGCAAGATGACACAGGTGGAGGACAGCCATTCCCAGGCTCTCATTTTTAAACTGGTGGATTTCCTGCTCAGTGTGCAGGTCTTTTAGGGAGGCAATATCATTAATGAAGTCATATTTCCCCTGAAAAAGAATCACCCAAAAGAATCTGAGGAAAAGAATTCTCCAGAATAATAGTTCTCAGATCTATCTCCTTGGGAACTATTCCTGTTCTATTACTGGGGATCAAACTAAAATATTGCCAGATTGGCATAGCAATCTTACATAGGCAAAGCATTCTCTCTTATACAAACTACTAAGCTTTCACATAATGCTGCAAAAAATAAGGATGATAGAAAGATGGCTGGTGTGGGTCTTCCGGGCTGTGTGGCC